ATTAGTTCTTGTTAACTAATGTAGTTAACTAAGGAAACCTTACTGTATGTAGCTGGGAACAGCAGTCCTAAACACATTTACCCCGTTGAGCTAAAGGTGACATTGACATAGAAGAACTGGTCCCTAAATTGACGTGAAGCAAATCATCAAATCAATATAAAGTAATGCTTTATAACATAAATGCTGTTCGAGAGAATTTCACGTGTGACTTTCAGATGACAAATTACAGTCAGGCAAATGATCCAAATCCTCCAAAACCTTAATTGATTTTCATAGATCTGATTTATTTTCTTTTCTCTTTCTGTCTTCAGTCTGCGTGGATGCAGTATTACAGAGAAACAGTGTCTCATCCTGACTTCAGCTCTGTGTTCAAACCTTTCACACCTGAGAGAACTGGACCTGAGTGGAAATAAACTAGAAAACAAAGGAGTGAAGCATGTATCTGAAACACTGAAGGATGTACGCTGTAAACTGGAGAGATTGAGGTCAGTAACATTCACATACAAGAATCAAAATGATTCAAATCACTTCAACAGTTTTTAAACAAAGACACTTTATAGTCTGTATATTGTAAAGAGCCTGAGTATTTTGTGATCTGGTGAAGTCAAGATGATCTCTCTTTCTATGTCTTTACAGAATGTTTTATTTTCTGCTTTTCTCTTTTTCCTAATATAGGTTAATATGCTGTAATATGACAGATGAAGGTTGTTCTGCTCTGACTTCAGCTCTGTGTTCAAACCCATCACACCTGAGAGAACTGAACCTCAGTGAGAATGAACTAGGAGACGCTGGATTTGAAAACCTCAGTGATCTACTGAAGAACCCACAATTCAAACTGGAGAAACTACAGTTAGTATCATTATACTGTACAGCAGTTACAGAGAGATTAAAAATCACTGATTAGTTAAACAGGCCCAGTTTACAGTATTTAAACTGTAGCACTGCGTCTGTACTGCAACTGTATTTCTCTGTTGGTCACACTTATTAATAGGTGTCTAACTAGAAAATAATTGGGTTTAATGTAAAATATTTGATAAACTGTACTGGTTGTGTACATGTTCTGCAGAAATATTATGAGATTCACATTCAAAGAAAAATACATTTATGTCTCTAGTTTTTTTTTTAATGAATTAGAAGAAAACAACAGCTTCTGGCATTTGGAACTTAAAAACAATTAAAAACTGTTAAACTATGGCAACTAAAGACTATATGGAGGACTAAATGCCTACTGTTGCTCTTTTATAAGACGCCATCAAGGATCTGAACCTTTGTCCTTTCTGTTTCTGTCTTCAGTCTGTGTAAATGCAGTATTAAAGTGAAGCAGTGTGTCTTCCTGACTTCAGCTCTGAAATCAAACCCATCACACCTGAGAGAACTGGACCTCAGTGGGAATGAACTTAAACACACAAGAGTGAATACATTTTATGATATACTGAAGGATTCACGATTTAAACTGGAGAGATTGAGGTGAGGAACATTCATGTACAACAAACAATTTAGTGTTTTGGTATTTTAATAAAATAAAAAATATATTTGTGTCATTTCTCTGAATGCAGGTTAAGGTCTTGTGATATAAAAGCTGATGATTGTTCAGCTCTGACTTCAGCTCTGAAATCAAACCCATCTCATCTGAGAGAGCTGGACCTCAGTGGGAATCAACTAGGAGACTCTGGAGTTGAAAACATTGGTGTTCTTTTGGGCAGTTCACAATGCAAGCTGGAAAAACTACAGTTAGTATCATCATTATGCTGTGCAGCAGTTACAGTGTGATTTAAATGTACTATTTATTAAGACAACAGGGCACAAGTTACAAAATGTATAGCACTGAAGTTTCTGGCGTTTCCTCTTCTAAAGAAATATTCAAAAGTACTATGAGTTAATGGACTGATGGTTCAGTATTTCTGTCAGCAGAAAGATTTATGTGCTGAAATCTGACAAAACTTTGCTGCAAAATATGACAGAAGTGAGAGGACAAAAACTTGCATGACAATAGATTATTCTGACAGAATTAAATGGTTTCTATAACACTGATGGAGCTTCTCACTAAATCTAAAAGGGGTCATGAAATGCATGTGTCTGGAGGTTTGCTTATGAAGTTAGCAATATGTTTCTTCCCAAAAGTTTGCAAATGTTTGTAAAATTGATAATTTTCTATCCTCATTTTAACTTCGTGTCAAAAACACGATTTCAGAAACCCAAGTAGATGCAAAAAGTAAATTTAACTTGACTATGCTTTCTTCACTTAATATACTTATATTCCATTTAAAAATGAAAGAACAGGAAACTACACTAAAATGACTTTAAATTGAGATTGTGATGTTTCTCACATTAAGAATATGAAAATAGTCCATTGAAATGTTTCAATCAGTTCTACATTTATAATTCACAAAATCAGATCTACATTTATAACATATATTTTGACTGAGTGATGATTGTCTAAACTTGGGTTGAATCTAATATCCTCAAATCCTGGTTAGGAATGGGTTTATAATTCTATAATATATTTTTCATGCTTCTGCTGGTGTATTAGTGTGCTATATGACATTTAGTTATGATGCATTTAACTCGCACATTAACATAACATGGATCTGAGTCATTGTCTTTTCTCTTTCTGTCTTCAGTCTGTGTGGATGCAGTATTACAGAGAAACAGTGTCTCTTCCTGACTTCAGCTCTGTGTTTAAACCCATCACACCTGAGAGAACTGGACCTCAGTGAGAATAAAATAGAAAACAAAGGAGTGAAACACTTATGTGACGTACTGAAGGATTCACACTGTAAACTGGAGAGATTGAGGTGAGGAATATGCTTAAAAATGCTTAAAAACATTTCAACATTGCAATTTAACTATAACACTTTTACTCAATATCTCACAAAGAGTCTGAGTTCACATTATATTTGTGGAAAATAATTCCTGTTGTGTTTTATGAACTGATGAAGGCAGGGTCTGTTATAAACACCTGCCAGGTACCAAACACATGGCAGGTGATAGTTTCATTACCGATTATCTTCAAATGTGCAGTGTGGCACAAAGAACCTCAGTAACAGTAAGATCACTAACAGTCATGAAGAAATGTGCAGTGGTGGAAAGAGTACTGAAAAAATATACTCAAGTAAAAGTACCATTACCTTTCAAAAAATGTAGTGTGAGTAGAGTAAAAGTACTTGTCCAAAAAACTACTTGAGTAAGAGTAAAAGAGTAGCCTATTTAAAAGTACTCATGAGTATTGAGTAGTGAGTACTGAGCTGTGGATTCTACCCCATCATAATAAACACTGTACACCGCAATTGATACATTTTAAAAACGTTGTACATTCTGTAATTCACATTATAGTGTTTGTCATAAAGAATGAAGAATATCTATCATCCAGCAGTTTTAATTTTGACTGCCAACTCTTTAAAATACATAAAAACAGCACAGAAACAGTAAGGAGCAGTCTTGTCCCAGCGCCACAGAAAGCCTCCCATCCTCCATTCATGTGCCTTCTACTCCAAGAAACTATCCCCGGCAGAGTAAAACTGACATCGGAAACTGGTAGCTACCGGTGGAGCAAAACTATGACATTGGAAAATGGAAGCTCCTAGCTATCAAGCTTGTGCTAGAGGGGTGGTGATACTGGCTGGAGGGAGCCAAACACCCTTTCGATGTAATAACTGATCACAGTAATCTGTAATATCTTTGTGATGCTAAATGTCTCAACCCCTGACAAGCCCACTGGGCTTTGTCCTTCACTTGCTTCAACTTTACAGTCACTTACTGGCCCGGATAAAGGAACCAAAAGGCAGATGCACTGTCCCATATCCATCACCCCGAGGACAATAACTCTCTCCTCCAGAACCCATCCTCCCTCCAGTCATCATTTTGAGTCCTATGTAGTGGTCCCTTGACGATCAGATCTTGGAAGCCACTCGCTCTGAGCCTGCTCTACTGGGAGGTCCAGGAGGGAAAGTTTATGTACCATCATTCCTACTGCTGCTAACCCTTCTGGATTCATTCATCTCCAGGCTTTGGACACCCAGGCAGCCAGCAAACCCTCTCGCTCCTCCAACATCACTACTGGTGGCCCAGCATGGTCCGGGAAATCTCCCAATTTGTCAAGAGCTGCTCAGTCTGTGCCATCTCCAAGACTTTCCGAACCTACCTTAAGGAAAACTGGTTCCACTGCCCGTCCCTTGCCAGCCCTGGTCCCACCTCGGAGTGGACTTTGGGACTGATCTCCCTCCATCCAACTCCAATGCCTGTATTGTAGTGGCTGTAGACAGGTTTTCAAAGGCTTGCAAACCCACACCTCTGAAAGGACTGCCTACTGTCTTTGAAACAGCAGAACTTCTTTTTCAACGTGTCTTCTGAAACATTGGACTACCCGAAGATATAGTGTCAGACCGTGGGCCACCGTTCATTTCCAGGGTCTGGTGAGCCTTCTTCCAACTCCTTGGAATTTCCGTCAGACTATCATCTGGATATCATTCCCCAAACCAATGACAAGACTGAATGCGAGATCCAAGATATTGAGAGATACCTGCAATCCTACTGCCATGACCACCGGCACAGATGGAGCCATTTCCTGCCCTGGGGTGAGTCTGCACAGAACTCTGTAAGGCAAAGTACAACCAGCCTGACACCCTTCCAGTGCATATTTGGTTTCCTGCTGCCCCTATTTCCCTGGTCAGGTGAGCCATCGTTCCAGCTGTGAAACACTGGTTCCAAAAGAGTTAGAGGTTCTGGGACTCAGCACATGTCCACCTGCAAAAGGCATGTTGGAAAAAACAAAAGCCAGACCAATGCTCGCCTCTCCAACGCTCCCCAATACCAACTGGGTCAAAAGGTCTGGCTTTCCACCAGGGAAAGTCGTCTCTGCCTGCCTTGTCGTAAGATGAGTTCCTACTACATAGGTCCCTTCACCATCAGGAGGCAGATAAACAACGTCACTTACCAACTCAACCTTCCCTCTTACTACAACATAGAACCTACCTTTCACATCTCCCTTCTCAAACCATTTACTAACCCTTTGGTTTCTCTTCCTGCATGAAATGGCTAATCTGACATTCCTCTTTCTGTAGAGATTACAGATGAACAGCTCATATATTACATCAACGACTCCTTGGGAAGGATACGGCCCAGAGAAAAGATCGTGGGTTGCACGTGATGGCATCCTTGACCCAGCCCTATTGACAGAGTTCCACGCTCAGCATCCTAACCTTCCTACACCCAGGAGCCATGGCCATCAACGTTGCCGCATTGTGCTGGCATCTGGAGCCGCCAATCTCAGCATTATGTTATTTTTACACATTTGACACATTTTTACAATTGATAGAACTATTAGTAAAATCTGTTGACTTTTGCAATCTTTGTTGGATTATATGGTGACAGTTCACAGTTGCACTGTTCAAGTTTTTGTCCAAGATTAAAATTTTGGGTTTTAACAATCTTTTCTTTCAGTATCTTCATTTTTAAGACCCTGTATGATTCCATTCCAGCAATACTGGAGTCCCAGTATGGTTTCAGGAGTGTGGGTCACTTTGCATTCAATTGATACTTTTCTTTTAAATAGAAATGTCTGAAGAATAATGTTGAAACTAGAATTGTAGCTTGTTTCTCTCTGTTAAAACAATTGCATAAAACATATGTCTGAGTGCTAAATTATCACTGAGAAGGATGTTGAGACATCTTTAATACTTCCTGAGTTATAGGCATGCAAAACCTCAGGTAAAAAAAAAACACAAGAAGTGATTTTTCCCATTTTTGCATGGCCACCATTGGCATATGATGCAACAAAGACAGCCAAAGTCTACACGTATTCCTTCAAATATTGAGCTTTGAAGATTAACAATATTTCAGGAAAAAAAAATCAAGTATTTATTGGTTGTTTTCTAATTCTGATCTCCACTG